CTTTCCACTGCTTACCCCAAACCTATGAAACCAACTCCTATCCCACCACCCTCCACTGATTCTCTTTTTGGACTCAGCCCGCCCGCACCCAGATGAATAAACAGCCGTGTGGCTCACACAAAGCCAGTTTGGGCAGTCTCTTCATTTATCCTGCGCATGAGTCTGTCCTGTCCTCTCCACGGCATCACAAAGGGATCCAGCAGAGAGAATCTTCCACAAACCGGATGGAGTGGGTGTTTTAACATTACCTCTATGTCCACCAAATTTTTTTGTTGACATTATTCCCCAAATTGCTTTCTGTTGCTTTTAACGACAGAACTCTATTGGATTCGGGAAAGCAAAACTTAGGGAAGTGAAGAGTTTGGGAAGGAGCATGCCAGTGGAAGGAACAGCATGTGCAAAGGGCTGTGAAGTAGAGAAGAGCTTGCTTTTCTCTACACCACCCCAACACTTAGTGATTTGAAACAACCACCATTTTATTTCTCACAATTCCCAGGTTGGCGGGATTATTTTTGGCTGGCTTTCCCTGGAGCTCACTCATGTGGCTGAGAGTTGGTGGGTTTGGTGAATTGAAAGAAAGCCAGTTGGGTAGAGTGTGCTCAGCAAGTGGCAGAGCAATACCAACATCTCTGGAGGGGCAAGCTACACCAGACCTCATGGGGCCATATATAAGAGTTCAGATTTTATCCTAAGTGCAAAGGAAAGTTACGTAGTTCAAGCATGGGAATAGCAACAAATGTCACAAAGGAAAAACAGAAAAGTTCGACTAACAGCGTAAAGAACTGTGAATTGGTTATCTCAGTTCTGTTCTGAGGTAGCTCCAGGACCTTGGGTATTTGTAAGGCTCTGAGGATTTCTCTTGGCCCCAGTTTTCTCATTTATAAAATGAGGTGGTGGATTAGATGATGTCTAATGCCTTCTCTGACGTTTTGTGATCTATGATAAAACCATGCCGATAAACGCAGGCCAGGAGCGGTGGCTCATGCCTGTAATCCCAGCACTTTGGGAGGCCGAGGCAGGTGGATCACGAGGTCAGGAGTTCAAGAGCAGCCTGACCAATATGGTGAAACCTATCTCTACTAAAAATAGAAAAATTAGCTGAGCATGATGGCACGCGCCTGTAGTCCCAGCTACTTGGGAGGCTGAGGCAGGAGAATTGCTTGAGCCTGGGAGGCAGAGGTGGCATTGAGCCGAGGTCGCGCCTCTGCACTCTAGCCTGGGCAACAGAGTGAGACTCTGTCTCAAAAAAAACCTAAATAAAAGAAAGAAAATAAATGCAATGGGCTCATAATAAAGAGGGAGAGATAAACACACCCAACCTTTATGATACCTGCTGTTGATGTTCCAGGGAATTCTAATGTTTAAAGTTTTGGTAGCTTACAAGCTGATTTTGTCTGCCCATTGTTACGTTGACTGCAGAAGGATTTTATTTTTATTTATTATAATTTTTTTTTTCTTTTTTTTTAAATTGCCTTTTATGTTTTGGGGTACATGTGAAGAACATGCAAGATTGTTGCATAGGTACACACATGGCGGTGTGATTTGGTGATTTGGTGCCTTCCTCCCCTTCATCTATTATCTGACATTGCAGAAGGATTTTAAACAGTACTAGGCTCAGTATCCCATTCAATGAAGAACTTCTAAAGAGGATATTTACATGAAATGTGATGCTCTGCTAAGCTTAGATTTAGTAACTTCAACTGAGTGCTTCATAACAGAAAACACTAGTGGGAGTACTGATTCTTGAGTGAATTTCCTCCAGAACTTTTAACTGTAGGAGTGCCTATGAGTGATCTGTGTGTCAGGTGCCTATTACTGTGTAGCAAACCACCCCAACATGTACTGATTTGAAACAACCCCCATTTTATTTCTCACCCCAACATGTACTGATTTGAAACAACCACCATTTTATTTCTCACAATTCCTAGGCTGGCTGGATTATTTTTGGCTGGCTTTCCCTGGAGCTCACTCATGTGGCTGAGAGTTGGTGGGTTGCATAGCTGGATGGCAAGGCTTTCTCTTCTCGGGATCTTTCCTTTTCAAGGAGGTTGGACCAGGTTTCTTGATGGCAGTCTCAGGGTAGCATTCCAAGAGAACAAGGAGGAAGGCACGAATGCACATCGAAAGCCCCTGCTTGTGTCATATTTGTATCCCAATGGCTAAAGCAAGTCACAAGGCCAACTCCAGAGTCAATGAGGGAGGGAGCTACAGATGGATACCTCAGTAGGGGTGATTCATTAGAAGCCAATAGTGTAACAATGTGTAAACTTTCCCTCTGAGACTTGCATTGCAAGATATGCAACTCTAACCTATAAAGGATGGCACTTTTTCTTGTTGCTGTTTCACTCTTGCTCCGCAGGCTGGAGTGCAGTGGTGCGATCTCAGCTCACCTGGGTTCAAGCGATTCTCCTGCCTCAGGCCTCCCGAATAGCTGGGATTACAGGCAGCTGTCACCACACCTAATTTTTTGTATTTTTAGTAGAGACGGGGTTTATCATGTTGGCCAGGTTGATCTCGAACTCCTGAGCTCAGGTGATCCACTGGCCTCAGCCTCCCAAAGTGCAGGGATTACAGGCATGAGCCACCGTGCCCAAGGATGGCACTTTCACAGAGACACAATATTATGGTATTACTAGTATACGTGAACATGTGGAGTCACCTTATTAAGAGACTAAGTCCTACATCAGTGGCTCTGCTTGCTTCATAAAATTATTCATTAATTTTTAGCAGTGGCCTTGGAAAGTTATGTACATAATATTTAGAGGAAAATGGCATTGACAATGATAATGAATTAAAGCAATTCACATGGCAATACCACTGCCCCACTTTAGACCCTGAGGCTTGCTAATTTCATATTTAGTCAAATCCCACATACTCCCAATCCCTCTCCCCTAGTGTGGAACTACAGCTTAATCTCCCTTGAAGTCAGGAAACTTACCTCACACATGCGTGTTCCTCTCACTCTTTCAGCACATGGAACACTACATAGATGCTCCTTGGATGCTTGCTAAATAAACTGATCAGTAGTTGCCTTTTAGTAAATATACTTGTGTTTCAGGTATTTCCTATGAAGGAAATACCTTCATAAGAAATACCTGAAACGAATTCTCTCCCAAGGTGACACGGTCTAATTCTCCAAGGTTTACCATCGAGGGGACTGAGGTGCAGAAAGCCCTAAGTGTATGCAGAGCAGTCCCCTCTGATCTCACTCCACCGCACTGCTGTCTTTTGCATGCAGCAGGAAGGACACTTCCTGTAAAAATGGAAAGAAAGCCTCAGGTTGTTTGAGAGAGGGTTAGGAAGAAAACCGGAAGAGCCAGTAGACTGCAGATGCTTTCAAAGAGCTCCCTTTGACCTCCATAGAAGAAAAACTTGTTAATTAAGAGATTGGCCACAGAAATCCAGGTGGAAAACCTGCAGAAGAGTGGCTTCTATAATTCTTCAAAACAAAACAACCCCAAGATGTGTTAATTTTTTCCAGTGGGAGGGAGTGGCCTTGCTCCCAGGGCTGGCCTTGCCGAGCAGGTGGCAATACCACACATACAAAGGATTTAGGGTTTGTCCTCAGGTGAAAAGGTAGTCAATATACTACGTTTTGAAGACAGTTTTTAAAATCACCTACTGCATCAGTAGTAATACAACAATAACTTACCATTTACACATCGCCGCGCACATCGGGGCTGTGAAAAGTGCTTTACAGAGCACCATCTCAATTAATCCTCACAACACCTCTATGAAGTAGGTTTTATTCTTCTTAATTTATAGATGTGTTAACTGTGGCCCAGGGAGATGAGCTTTCCCGTGATTGCCCAGCTTTTAAGTGGTAGTTCTAAAACCTAAGTGTGTTTGACCAAAAGCCCTGAGTAGCATTTAGCTGTGGGCCTCGTGCGGCTTTGGAGCTGGTCTGAGGTGGGGAATTGTGAATCTCATTTCTTTATGCTGAGCTGCGCACATGCATGCACGTGTCATTTACAAAAAACAAATCCAGGTCAAGATCTCTGTCTGCCTGAAGTTTAAAAGCCTACTTGGGTAGACAGAGGCAAAAATCAACTCATTCATTTACTCGTTTGCTTTCTCCACAAGTATTTATTGCGCGCTTTAGTATTCCACACAGGGCGCTAACCTAGCTCTGCAGGAGAGAACGCTGAGCACAACAGATACGTTTGCTTCCAACGATCCCCTTCCCGATTCTGGTGTCTCACGAGCCAGGCATTCAAAGAAGCAGGAAATACATCAACAAGGGGGCGACTTCAGCACCAGCTGCGCGGGAGCCCGAGAAAGCGCGCAGAGCCTGCAGAGGTGGTCAGGGAGAACTTCCCGGAGGCAGCAGCGGCCGCAGGCGGGGCGCGAACCCAGGCCGCTCGGAGGCGGGAGTCGGTGCCGGGGGCGGGGAAGGGGGGGCGGGGGCCGAGGCCCGGGCGGGGGCGGCCGGCGAGTTAGGGTCAGGGCGGGAGGATGCGGCTTCCCGGCGGCAGAGGGCGCCTGGCGCTGCGGTCCGGCGCGCCGGAGCCGCCCGCGCGGGCGCCGAGAGGAGAGGCGAGGCGGGGAGCGCGAGCGGCGGCGGCCACGGCCACGTCCTCCCGGCAGCGGCGGCGGCGCCCGCGGGCAGGTGGGCTGGGAGAGGCGCGGCGGCGGGGCGGCGGGCGGCGGGGCGGCGGGCGGCGGGGCGGCGGGGCGGCGGGCGGCGGGGCGGCGGGCGGGGGTGCGGCGCCGGGACGGCGCGGTTCCCGCCTCGCCGGCTCCGCCTCCGTCCCGTGCTCCCGACTCAGGCCCGGCGCCGGGCGGGTCCCGAGCGCAGCTCGCGCGGGCGGGGTGGGGGCCGAGGGGCGCGAGCTCGCCTGCCCGGCGCGGCTCGGGACGCCGCCTCCCGGGGGCTGCGGGGCCCGGGCCGGGAAAAGTTGGGGCGGACCGCGAGCCCGCAGGGCCGGGCGGGAAGTGCGGGCGCGGGGCGGGCTCAGGGGTCGGGGGACGCGGTGCGAAGGGCGCGGGCCGGGGCGGCCGGGAGCGCCGGGTGCGGGAAGGCGGGAGACGCGGGTCCTCTGAGGGCGCCGCGGATGGGGTGCGCTCAGGGTTTCTGGGGGTGGACGAGAGTCCGGCCGGGGGCCCTGCGGTGAGAAGGCTGGGACCCAGGGGGTCGGGGTGCAGAGGTGGGGCGGGGCGGGACGGTGCCTCTCTCCTCCACCGCTCGGTCGGGGCAGACCCGGAGACCCGGGGCCGGCTCACAGCTGGGGACGCCTGCGGCTTCCGAAGACCCAGCGGGGAGTTCCTGTACGGGGTGGGTGGAGGAGGGAGCGGAGCATTGCTTCCTCTGTCGCCGGGGCCGACTCCCGTCCCTCCCCAGCGGCCGGATTCACCTCAGACGGCCGTGCTTTTGCCCTGGGTAAGTTGAGGAACAGCTGAGCGGATGAGATGTTTGGGGAGTTCCAAGATGAGTGGGATTAGGCTGTATGATATCGTAACTATCAACGGGAGCTGAAAACAGTGGCATCTCCTCATACACCCACCTATCCACTCATGCAGTCAGTACTGCTTACTGCTGAGCTCCAGCTGCCCTTACTCTTTAGGAGACACCTCTAGGTCCCCAGAGCCCAACAGCGCATCTGCTCACAGCTTTGAGGGTGGCAAGAGTGGCCTGCTGGGTGTCTGCGTGGGTTGGTGCTTTCAGAAACAAGTGGTTCTGGAGGTACTGGATGCTTTATTAGAACAACCTGTGTGGTGCCCCTTGCAAGCGGAGATGACTCATGTTGGCTTCCCCACCTCCCCCAAATAAACTTTGTAGTCAAGACACCAGTATGCCTGGTCCTTTGCAGCAGTGATACAGCAAGAGACCCATAGTGGGTTTCTTGAGCCCGTGTTGTCGTCCCAGATGTGTTAGCAAGAAGTTTGACCTTGGATGAGTCACTTGCCCTCTCTGAACGTGTGTTTTCATATCTGTCACATGGGGTATAAAGAGAGAGCCGCACGGACTGATGGAGACAGGAGTAGGTTTCTGAGGGACACGGTGAAATCTTTTTCCCTGTGAAGCTGGATTTGCCACACAAAATAAGCCTCTGCTTGTTCTTATAAAGAAATTAGGATAGATTTAAAAGAAAATATGACAAGCAAGAAAGATTGCACAAAGCAAAACAAAAAACTAATAATAGTTGGTATTAGATTTACAGCATGAATACTGTTTTATGCTTGCACTTAGTGTACTTGGTTGTCCTGCTGTCTTTACTATAAAGTTGCTTATTGTGCATAGAAAATATGTATTTCACCTGTGGACCCGAATTTTTTCTTATTTTTTAACCTTCAAGCTTGGAGTGGACGCTCAGTTGGGTTGGTCTTGCTGCGGTTTGCCTGAAGAACATCCTCAGGGTCTCTCACTGCTATAATCTTACAGGTTTCCTTCTGTCTGACTGAGGCTGGGGTCCTTGTACAAGTATGATTCTGCCATCTTTTCCATTATGGCTTGAGAAGTGGTGAGCTGGTTCCTCTCGCCTCTGACACGTCGTACTTCCCAGGTGTCTTTTCAAATGACTGTAGTAAAAGGCAAGCAGAGCGTTAGATGCAGCTCATTAACAATTGCTCCAGGCAATCATGTGTGTCCTCTGCATCCCACTCCTGTTCCTTAGACCCTCTGGGCAACTTCTCACTCGAATGTCCTGGTCTTAAGCTGGCCTTGACATTGAGGATGCTGAGGGCCATGACAGAGTTGAAATGACTTGGCCAGGGTCAAACCGCACATTGATGATCAAGCCATGGTTCTGGAAGAAGAGAATCTATTTTTATTTTTTTAAGGATTTTTTTTTTTTGTACTTTATCATAACTTAATGTTCCTGTACTTGTCGGTTAGTAGCTTTCAAAATCCGTAATGGGTTTGATCACATCATTTTCAGTGATCCTTTTTTTTGTCAGCTTTTTGGAAGTTGCGCAGTTAGTGGTTATCTCTTGAGTTTGAGGTAGTGGTATTTTATTATTAAACATTTTTTTTTTCCTAAATTTTTAAAAAACTACTTTCCTTTTCAGACCAGATGAGGTGTAGTGGTAAAAACGATACCTTCTCCAACAAGTCAAGGCTTGACTAATTAGGTTAAGTCTTTAAAATATCTAGTGTGTATAAATTTTAAAATAGCTGTAGGTACAAATTTTACTTTAATCGAGAAGTATGAATAAAAATCAAAATTGTCACCATTGGAGCCCCTGCCACTGACCAGGGATTGTGGTGAGCCAAGTTCATTTTACAGGAGAGAAAACAAACCCGAGAGACGGCACGACTCTGGCATAGCTGTCATGGATAAGTTACTGATGACCTTTCAGTCCACAAGCCGTTGTAACAGTGGAAAAGGAATTCTCAGCTGTCCTACAGGGTTGTACTAGTTAAATGAGATACTGTATGTCTAGCAACAAGTAAACTGTAACGGGCTCCCTAGCCCAGCACATTTTAACATAAGCACTTGTGGACTCTGGAAGCAGTGTGGTGAAGTGGTGAGTTCAAGCATCTTGGGAGTCTGGCAGGCCTGGTGTCAATACTGAACCTGCTGCCTGACCTCTGTGAGTCTGATTTCCCCATGTGTAAAGTCAGGGTAATACTGTCTGCCTTATATTCAATGAAACGTACCCACTAATTGCAGTGGGTGCTGAGTAAAGGTTGGCATCTACTCCTTTCTCTCCCTTGCACACAGGTACTTGGGATAATGGGATTGATTAAGTCTTTCAGCAATTATCCTCAAGGGGAAAAGGCTTAAAGTACTTTTTTTGTACTTATCAATAATTCTTCTAGCCTTTTTGCTTTCCCAACCCAAGCCCCAGCATGCACATTGAATATTCCAGGGCCTGTAATTGTCTGTCTTGTCTAAGAGGGAACTGAAAAAAACCGTAAGCCAGAAAGGACAGGTCTTTGATAGAAAGTTGAAGATGAATGTAGCTTGGTCTCCCGTTGCCCATTTTGTGGCTTTCTTTCCTTTTTTATTAATTTTGCCGGACAGGGAAAAGATACAGAATTCAGGGGCTTCTAGCTGGAGGCGGGCCCGGAAGAGCCTGTAGTGAAGGGCAGCTAGAGGGAGGAGCGCGATCTGGCTGACGGTCAAAGCTAGAATTTGGTGTGGGGGAAATTTCTGTTAGATGCAGGATTTGGCTAAATATGGGGCCGATTTCCCTCCAGTCCTTTAAGGCCCTCTTTTGGGACTTTGAAGTTTTTGTGCTGCAGGCAGATTTTGACTGGTTGTGGTGGCATCATAAATGAGTTTCCATAGTAAATTGTATGCTGAAAGGAAATTAAATTCCGAAAGGGTGTTTGTTGTGACTGATGCCAGAATTCCTCTGAGAATTTTATTAAGATTTCAGTCTATAAAAGCACTTCTTAATACTCTGAAGATATTAATTAGGAAATAGTTTTTAAAAAGTAGACGTGTTATCTTTGTGAGCTTTTGAAATGTCGTCTTCCTAAATCATTGGAGCAAATGAGGCTCAAAACATCATAGAGACTTATATTTTAAAAGCATTTCTTCCTAAATGTAATGTTTTCATTCTCTTCCTGTTCCTCCCCTCCTCTCACATTATTTTGATAATGAGTTAATTTTGGTTTCTTTCACATTGTTGTGGCCTAATTTCTAAATTTCTGACCCTTCATTTCTAGATCTTGCGTGTATGTTTTTTTCCCTTAAGTCAATTCTCATTCATTATGAAGAGCTGGTATAGCTAGGTGGGAAAGAGAGAGGACCCTGGAGCTAGGTTGGCAAGAGCTAGGCTCTTTAGAACTTGGATTCAGTCCTCACAGCAGCTCTGGGAGGCTGATCCTGCTATTCCCTCCACACAGATGTGGGAATGGGTGCAGAAACACATGTGTGTTCACACAGCCAGCAAGAGGTTAATCTGAGTGTCAGCTGCAATGATCTGTAGGACTCCAAAGCCCATGCTTCCAGCTAGAAAGGCAGGCAGGGGCCTTGCATGCTGTGCCAGGGTTGGGACTTGGTCCTATAGGCAGAGAGGGTCAGGTCTGTATTCTAGAAAGGTAGCTCGGTGGCTGTCTGGATTTTTGAAGTGAAGCAAGTAGAAATTAGGAGTAGAGAAATGAGTCCATTAAAGTAATTGTCTTGAGAGATGACAAGGGCCTGAATGGAAGACATTGAGACAGTGGCAGTGGTGGTGGAGAAGAGGGGACTTGTTGGAATCCATAGAGCTCAGTGCCTTTGGATACTAGAATTGAGGGAAAAATCAAATCTGAGCCTTGCCTTTCCTTGCCTCATCCCTTCCCGTTTCAGGTCTGATGCCCCAGGGATGGGTGTTGAAGATGCTATGTGCGGGCTAAAAATCTCCGCAGACACCAAAAGTACGTCCTTTAGTCTCTGCCAACAGCTAGAGAAAGGTGGTTGAGCACAGTCGGAAAGGGCCTTCCCCTCCCTGTGCCATCCCAGCCTTATCATTCCTAACTTTCCAGGAGCATCGCAGAGGGTGGAAGTTGGATTCTTGACTGCATTTTGGGAAATGCTAGTTTGAGCCATCAAACTTAAGGTGAGAAGTGAGGAAGGGAAGATGGCTTCCTGGGGTGTCGTCTGCGCACCTCTCTTCCCTGGTGACACAGGGGACCTACCCGGGTTTGGTCTTCAGTTCTGTAAGAGTTGATCTGCTTTAGATGGGGTTGACTTGTGGTCACCAAATTTGCAGGGGTTGCATGGGAAGCAGGAGTGACTATGGACATAATGGCCAGCCCCTAGAGGAGTCGAGGCCAGCCTCCTCTGATGGGCGAAGTCTCTGGGGCGCCAAGCCATGCTCAGGGGAGCGGGCATCAGAGCACAGGGAGATGGTTGGCTGAGGTCTCTGTGTCCTGTCATTGGTAGGACGCACTGCTGCCATGCCAGGAATATACTGGTCTTGGGCCCTCTCCCCTAGTCAGCACCAGATGTGGTAATAAACTTGCTTTTGGGCTTCTGTTTTTCCAAGTTGTACAACCTCCCTGCCCTTCTGAGAGTTTGTGCTGGCTCTGGTCAGGCCAGAGATCAGGTGGTCAGATTCTGGCTTTATTTGGGCTGTTCTCGCTGGGAGGAGGCAGCCAGGTTACCTCTGTTGGACCTGCCTGCTCCCAGCATTTTCAGCCTCAAGCTGTCTCTGCGGTGAGTCACTCTATGCAAGAGTCTGCTCACCCACTTTCTGCTTAATGTTTACACCTTTCCCTCAAAGAGGGAACCTCTTCTCCTTGTTCCGAGGGTACTTCTCGGCAGTCCCCTAAAGTGTCCAGTGCGTTTCTTTCGTGGGGTTAGAGTCTGTGCCAGGCAGGTATATGCTTTAATGAGAGAAGAGCATTTCTTCCTGTGGATGTAACTACCATGCCTACCTCTTGAACATTATGTCCTGAGCAGAGTCCTTTTCTTGTTCATTTTGGTGCATGTTTGGGTGTGTTTG